AACAATCATCGAGGAATGAAAATTTTAGGGCACGACACATTGTTGCATTTGGAGACTTTATCTTGATGTAAGTTGCCTTGACTAAAAGTATCTTTTTGTTGACTTTTAAAATGACCTGTAATGTATTGGGCCATATCTTTTAAACGAAGTATTTTTTTGACTTGAGCTTAGAGTTACAAAGTTGTAGAGAATTTAATTTCCTTCAAAATAAGCTTTGGTTGGGGAAAGGCTGATAAAGCAAGTGAAAGTTACGCTTGGTCAAAGTTTAGTTGACTTCTCCTAAGAAAATCCTAATTTGCCAACTTTTGACTTCTGATGATTTCAGGGATTTTCTTGAGGAATCATGATCAAACCTTGATAAAATTATTAATATGAATTCAAAATGTTGATGTTGACAAAAAATCTTGAAGTTTGACTATATGTTGACCACAGTTGACTTTTTACCCAATACTGTTGATTTTCAATCATCTGAGCAATTGACTAAGCAAACTTGTGATGCAAGGCTTGAAACTTGATATGAGCATTATTGGGGAAATATGAAGAACCATGAAAACCACTTGAGACCTTAGAAACCCAATCTTCCTTGAGGAATACAAAACCCTAGTTGTGGACCCATTTCTTAGGAGGAGAATTTGCCTGATCAATTATTGGGCAACCTTGAGCATTTGAGAACGCTAGGAGAATGTCTTGAAGAAAAATGGAAGGGAAAATTTTGGGGTACAATAATAATCATCATGGTATTCAACTTCACTTTATTAATGCAATGAAAATAATCCAAAATATAATTGTTCAACAACTTCAATAATCCATAAGAAACATCTCATCAATTTAAAAAGAATTATTATACTCTCACAATATTTCAAAGACAACAACGACTAAATAAGAAAAACAAACTTTTATCCCCGGTGTTACGTATCAGAGCAAGACCTGACTCAATGTACACACCATGAGGTGCAACTTCATACCTCTAGCTACTCTAATCTTCTTTACTTGCGCATTACCCACGTGGAGGCAACATTCAAACAGAAGGTGTGAGATATCATAATAATATAAATGGATATATGATAATGAGTAGGTAAAGTACAACATACATAATCATTTATTCACACTTCATGCATCAACACCAATACAAAACATCATTTCAATAATCACACCCAATAATAACAGATCACATCTCTTCAACAACAACGTCATAATATAATGAGACCAATTTCCCTAAATATATGCATGTGATACCATAACAATGTCTCTTTTCCATTTAGGCTACACCGTCACTTACCGTTAAGGCTACACCATCACTTGTCATCGAGGCTACACCATCACTTGCCATTGATGTTACACCGTCGCTTATGAACATGCATGCAACACAAATTTGTTACAACAGCTTATGCAATGACACAACACACATCAATAGAATAAGAAAATACAAGCCACCAAGTACACATCGCTATTCATACATCATCACATTATGAAATCTCATCGATTTAATCATCATATTCACAACTTCACAATTACATCAAAATACCGAAATAATACAAGAATTCATAAAATCATCTCATTCAGTTTTCAAACTATTTTTATTAGATAGAAAATGTTTCTAGCTTCGCATATATTCGAACGGCGTGTCAAACGGACACCCGAGTCAAAAGATGCATTTTCAAAGATTTTCAAAACCTGTCAGTTTCAAAAGGATACTCGGGTACCCATATATGGTAACCGGTTACCACATAGTATTTTGAAAATCCTGGCTATTGTTCCACTAGGTAACCGATTACCATAAATCATTGTTACCCAACTATAATAGCGTCTTTCACCTTGTGATCAAGGTTACTTGAGCATAATGTCCAACAATCTCTCCAAGGCTTGCAAACGTTTTTCTTAATTTCCTTCATTTCTACCTCATCAATGATACATAAACGCCAAAAAAAATCCATTTCATAGTCTCCATTACGTGCACGCAGCACATCATAACTGCTAAGTATATTCTAATATAGGAAAACTACTACACTAAGTATAATACAAATTGTTTCGTTCCAAAAGAAGTCTTTATCCAGTTAGAAGACTTTGACCACATTAATAAATCATTACTCTTTCCTTTAATCTCACATTTGGATCTCATTCTAATCACAATCTCAACACTACCATTCCTTCATATGGTTGGTGATAGAACCCCTCAATTTCTCCCTAACTCATGTCTATACTTTTCCGTTATATCCATGATTCTAATCCTTCTTGAATTTGTCTTTCTTCTAGCATTACTTCTATTCTCCTCAAAAATATCATTATTCTAACCATCCTTAATCGACATAAGTTTCATCTCTATGCACTTATCTAATACCTTCACATCCTTACTAGTGTCAAGCATTTCATTCCCTTAATTCATTCACTAACAACTTATCTCACTTTACCTCATCTCTAGCAAGCTGCGATAATAACCAGTTAATTCCTGAAAAGTTATTTCTCATAACCAATTTCAGAGTCTCTCGATATAAACCTCTATTTACTTTGAATAGATTCCATAAAGATCTTCATTCTAAATAGCATGTTAAATAAAATTCACCTCTTCAAATCATGATCTACATCCTAACATCCTAACATATGTTTCCTTACCTTTCGACACCGTAATTCGAGTCACGACATTCAACATTTCCTTTTTCTGACTCAGGCTAAACCAAAATTCCCTGAAGAAACACCGCAACAAACTGATTTAATTATCCAAAATAACTTCACTGATTTCTAAACGTTTTCCTCTAACTATCCTCACTATTCATTCGTATCTGAAGATTATCCGACCTCAATTCAATTATACTGAGAACATACTCACCTACCAGTTGGTCCATCCAGTCGTCACTCATCTGGAGTGGATATGTTACCTCAACCATTATTTTAATCAATTATCGATAATCCATATACAGTTTCATACTACTTTCTTTTTCCTTAAATAATGACATCAAAGCTCCCAAAATGATACATTCGGTTTTACAGATCTATTTCTCCGTACATCTTCTAATAACTTCTCCAATTCTTCTAACTTTGAACTAAAATCCTGCATGGTGCCATAAGAATAAGTCTCGTACCAAGAATGACATCAACATTAAATTTCACCTCTCACCCAACATCATTATGTGACAAATAAATTACTTTCAAGTGCTGGAACCATTTTTAAAACAAAGTTCATCATGTTATCTTTCTAGGCTTCAAACAAAACTCAAATAGGACGTCTGGAACATAAGTTAAATTTTTTTGAAGTTCTGCTGATTTTCATCACAGGGTACTCGGGTACCCATTATTGGTAACCGGGTACCAGCTGAACAGAAATAGTTTTTGTCATTTTTTGTGTACAAAATCCATTCCAACATATATCAGAAACCCCTTTCTTCTCATAACTCGAGAGACGCATTACTTTCTTCAAAATTCAATTTCCAAAATATCAAAATTCCAACTATTTTCATAAGGCTACTAATACCTTCAAGTTCCATCTCTGAATCACGATCCACAACCATCTGACAACATCAACAACATTTCACATATGTGATTCCGACATAAAATTTACATTAATTCATCACTCTATCACCATTTAAAACATCGACATCACACAATGCTAACTCAATATTGATAACTTCATAATCAACCGCAATGCTAAAACATTGCAATCGTCTAAGCTTCACCTTCTAAAAGTTATCCTACTTTGCTTATTAGATATCCTCGGGCATAAAAATATGCATCGACTCATCAAATTAATTCGTAATCATTGGTTTCACATCAGACAGTCCACTCCAAGGATAGCATTAAGTCAATCCAACATCTCACTTTAACGACAAGTTGCAATCATCTTAGGAAAAACACTAGAACCAACGCACAACTGGTACATCATTACACTACAAGAAAATTAGTGTTTAACGACACAAAAATTGCGACAATTATGTGATAACTGTCGTAATTGACATATAGAGACAATGTTTACGACAGTTGACATCAACCGTCCCTAATATTTATTTTGCGACGGTATATTTAACCATCATAATATTATTATTACGACGGTAAAACAACCGTCGGCCCCCATTTAACACTTTTAACATTGATTTTTCACCAACAACTAGTCACGACGGTAAAATTAACCGTCCTAAAAGGCATATCACGACGGTAAAGCACCCGTCGCACCCTTAAACCTTTCACGACGGTAAAATTATCCGTCCTAAAATTCATTTCACGACAGTAAAACAACCGTCGCACCCAAAACCTTTAAAAATTCTCATGGGCACGACGGTAAAACACCCGTCGCCGTAAAAAAGTTAAAAAGCTCATAAAACATCCATTCACTTTCTACTCATGCTTTCACTTTTTCTACTCATGGTGCCGTTCATGCCGTTCTTCTTCACACCGAAAGAAACCCCTTGACACCGAAAGGAATCTCTTCAAACCGCTCATCTTCACACCAAAAAATGCACAGCAAGCAGTTTAACATCCTCTGCGTTCATCTCTTCAAACACAGTAAGTTTTATGTATCACTTTTTGCATTGTTCTCATCTCTCTCATTCTCTGCCATTGATTTCAGCATTGGAGATTCACTTGAATCTTATGGTTGAGCTCTTTGTGATGATTGATTTTGATTTTGAATATATTGAATTGATGTTAGGTTTTCTAATTTGTTGTTTTAGGGTTTTATTTCTTTTTATGATTTTTTAGGTTTTCTAATTTGTTGTTTTAGGGTTTGATTTGATTATTAGATTAAATATGTCGCTGGACCGATTAGAATCGATGAAAACTAATATAAATTGGTGAAATCAAAAAAATTGCCTATTTTCTTAAACAATGATTTATCAGTAATGAAGTTCTGTTTTGGAGGAATTGCAACTTTGTATGCATTTGGTGTTTGTGCTTCATCTTCTAAAGGCGATATCTGGTTTCTTTCTGTATCTTTATGAGTTGGAGAATCCATTGGAGATATCAACAGTGACCTTCACTGTGTTATGTTATAGAGAGAAAAGTCATAACCAGTGATGGCAATAAAGTCTAACTGTAACATTAAATTAGAATATGATATGGTTCAGACAAAGCAAGATTGCTTATGTGTTTTGGTTTCTTTCAACCAAAGTTCTTGCTGGAAGAAGAAGCTTCCACTATCTTATGGAAGAAATGATCAAGTAGTAAAAGGAATTTTTGTCATGAAATTGATGAAAAACGATCCTTTTTCTTCCATTTCAAATCAAAAGAAAGATCATGAAACTTTGATTATTGTAATTTTGGTTCTTTTAGGAAGCTCTATGCTTGTCATTGTGACATTACTTGGAGCAATGTTTTTTGGGTTTCCTTACAACCGCAAGAAGATAAAAAGTTGTAGAACCAACAAAAATGTTGTTGACAATAACTTGCGCAATCTTAGCTTCAAGGAAATCGTTGAAGCAACGAGTAACTTCAGAGAGGAACTTGGAAGAGGGTCTTGTAGCGTTGTGTACAAAGGAACAATAGAGATGATGGTTGATGTAGCCGTTAAGAAACTTGATAAGTTGCTTCAAGATAGTGATAAGGAATTTCAGACCGAAATGAGTGTGATAGGACAAACTCATCACAGAAACCTTGTTCGTCTTCTTGGATATTGCAATGAGGGACAACATCGGATTTTGGCTTACGAGTTAATGAGCAACGGAACTTTAGCAAGCTTCCTTTTCACCTCTTTAAAACCAAATTGGAACCAACGATTCCAAATTGTTCTTGGAATTGCTAGAGGTCTTGTATACTTGCATGAAGGATGTTGCACCCAAATCATCCATTGTGATATTAAACCCCAAAATATACTTCTAGATGATCACTACAATGCTAGGATTTCAGATTTTGGGTTAGCAAAGCTATTGCTGATTAATCAGAGCCACACCGAAACTGGAATTAGAGGAACCAAAGGGTATGTTGCGCCAGATTGGTTTAGGAGTGCACCAATCACTGCAAAAGTTGATACTTATAGTTTTGGTGTATTGTTGTTAGAGATCATTTGTTGTAGGAAAAATGTAGAGAAGGAATTTGTTAATGAAGAACAAGGGATTTTAACTGATTGGGCTTATGATTGCTATAAGACTAAAAGACTTGACAATCTCTTAGAAAATGATAATGAGGTCGGAAATGACATGATGAGTTTGGAAAAGTTTGTCATGATTGTTATTTGGTGTATTCAAGAAGATCCTTCTCTTAGGCCAACAATGAAGGAGGTTTTACTGATGTTAGAAGGAATAGTCGAAGTTGTTGTTCCCCGAAGTCCCTATCTTTATGGTTCTGTAAGTTGTAATTAAAATTAAAATTTCTTTTGAATATTTAGCTCTCATTCATATCATATCACATAAATTAAATTGGATTTTATTATTAAGCTATGTTTTGCTTTTTCTTTTGCACTTAACAAATAAGGTATCTATTGATTCAGACACATATTCAGACACAATAAATTCTAAGAAAACCCAGAAAGCTATTCGGGTTATGGAGATTTTGGAAAAGCACGGCCAGGCTGGTGTTTTTGCGTATGAAGCACTTTTAAATGGGTACTGTAAAGCTGATATAGTTGATGCTGCCAATAAGGTGCTTGATAGAATGAAAAAGAGAGGTTTTTTACCTGATGTTGTTACTTATAATATTCTCATTGGGAGTCTTTGTGGGAGGGGTAAACTTGATTTGGCTTTAAGGGTTATGGATCACTTGTTGAAAGATAATTGTAGGCCAAATGTTATAACTTATACTATTTTGATTAAAGCAACTATGGATGCATTTACATTATCCAATACTTTAACCTTCCCCATACCCGCAATCAAATGATGAAGGATGATAGTACAATTAACTATTGAATTGTTCTACTCTTGTTTCTCTTGTGCAGGTCAGCAGTGCATGGCTACTGTACAAATCCAGTACAGCAGGAAATGGATTCCTTTCTGCAACACTACAAGGTTTCAGTGTTTTTGATGACCGGGAAGGAGTTGAACAAGGATTTCGGTTAGCAATAGGAAAGCCTGAGAGCATTGGAGCCAGTCCTCCAAGTACACTGTCGTATTATGAAAATCAGGAGTCAATTGATAGTAGCTCAAGTAAAGGGAATAATTTTGAACCAGTTCAAACAATGCTCATTGTTGATATGAAATTTGGTCCGGATTCAACATTTGTTTCTGTGTGTATCCAGAGACCTCAGTTACTTGTTGCACTAGATTTTCTTCTTGCTGTAGTTGAGTTTTTTGTTCCAACAGTCAGCAGTATGCTATCATTTGAAGAACACAATTCCTCCATGCTGGATGCAATCATCATAGATCAGTCTATCTACAAGCAACCTTGTGCTGAATTTTCCCTCTCACCTCAAAAGCCTTTAATAGTTGATGATGAAAATTTTGATCATTTCATTTATGAAGGGGATGGTGGAATTCTATATTTAAAAGATGGGCGGGGTTTGAATCTTACATCAGCTAGCTCAGAGGCTATAATCTATATTGGAAATGGGAAAAAATTGCAATTTAGAAATGTTGTTATTAAGGTTTCAGTGCCTCACTTTATCCATTTTGTTCTCTGACTACTCTATGAATTTAAGATTTCGATGCATGCCCAAACTAATTTCCCTGGTTATCTATTTGCAGGGTGGACAACACTTGGATTCTTGTGTTTTTCTTGGGGCAAATAGTAGTTATTCAGCTTTAAATGATGACCATGTCTATTTGGAACAATCAGTTGAAAGTCCTCAGGCAATATCTCCGAGAGGTAGCGTGCATGAAGTACCATCCCAGAATAATGCAGCTAATAGCTCTGCGGAGGATATCGTTGAGCTTCAGGTTAAGTGTTGATAAAGTTAAATATTTATACACTTGCGAATTATTGAATGTGTGGTTGATTGTAATGATGGGAGAGTTGTGTAAGTGTACTTTTGCTTGGAGTTGTGAATTGTTGTTAGCGACATTCATATAAACAACTACTTTTAGAAAACTGTTGGAATTTCACCCTTTCATACCATTTATCACGAGGTGTGAGTGAATACATAGATAATACCACATCATGGTTTACCACAATGAAAGATGACTTGAATATATGTTTATAAGTAGGGACAATCTACATCTTACAAGCTGGTTTTAAAAGGTTGAGTTAAACTCAATTCAATTTCTAAGATGGTAGAGTTTATTCTAAATATGTTGTTGGATTTCCTGCATCGTCCACACTTCAGGATTGGCCCCAAAGAGGGGTGTGTTGGAAATTTCGCCTTCGTTGCACTCTCCCCTTAGCCACCTAATTGTTGCAGCCTACAACCCTTTCACCGTGTTGGGTATGAAGGGATGATTTAGTCCCAACCAAAAACTCTCAGACTAACTATTGGATGGACTACTTTTCATTCCGTCAACCCTTCTTACTAAGGTTCTACAGGTAATTCCCCACTCATTTCCAAATCACTCAATACAAGAGTCAAATATTTTTTAGAATGAGTGCTATTCCAATTTTCTTTTTATTAGTTGTATTCTTAATGTGAATACTTGGAATTTAGTAAGTTGCTCTCAGCTGTTCTTCTATATACCCTCAATAATAAACACAATTTATATTTACAAGGAGATTAATAGCATAGATACTTCATTAAGTGCACGTGTGATATTCTCTAGTTCACAGCCTGACTACAATAGCTATAACTGTCAATACTAATTACCAAAAACTACTTGGAAGTGTGGAATATTAATATGGTTCTATTTCCAACTCGGACTCCTATTTTTTCCTTTACACTAACTTCTTATGCATCCTAACATTGTAATATTTGTAATTTTAGTTCATCTACACCCCTAAACTCAGTTCATTCTATTGTTTCGCTAATCATTTGTAGTATTGTAGCTATTTCTTAAGTGATAAATTCCTAATAGTAAAATCAATCCAATAGAACCCACCCGTTTGAAGAAAACAATGATAAATAGACCAAGGGAAAATCTATTATCAAAGTAAAAGATCTGCCATCAGCTGAAACAAACAAGTATAAATCCTATGGTGACAAAGAAAAGGGAGTTTAAGGAATAAATCTCTGAACAGAGTTTCCTTCTCACATATATTGGTTTGGAGTCCTCTTACAAGTGGTTTTCTCTAATCCTACTATGAAAATATTGATTTTATTCATTTTCCCAAAAGTTGCTTTCCTATTATTATTTCAACATTTTAATTATCTATCATCTTTTTTACAGAAATTAATTACTTATCATTCCTTCTATAACCGCTTAAAACTGACCCACTAACCCTAACAGTTTTTTTTCTCCTTGAGTATACCCTTGAAACCTCACTCACCCAAGTGCAGGATCATGTCGTGACATTTTGCTTCTTGCATATTTTATTTTTATGCAGTAAAATATATTGTCCTTTTGATATGAAATTTTCAACAAAGACAATTACCACAACAAGTAACGGTTCTCACTTACAAGTATCTTGTTTGTCTTTTTTCTATTTTAATGTCTTAGCCAGAATATCTGTTTGCAGGCTGTTGGTCCAGAGCTTACATTTTATAACACATCAAAAGATGTAGGGGAATCATCAAACTTGTCTAATAAACTTCTACTAGCACAGTTGGATGCATTTTGCAGGTGAGTTTTTCTTTGGTGAATTGCATTTACATTATCCAATACTTTAACCATTTATACTTCCAATAGATAGTAACCATAGGATGATTATGGGAGGAAACATGAAAGCAATCGCGTGGGAGCCACGGTGTTGCAAAATAAAGAGACCAACCAGTAGAACACAGAAATAAGAGGCATCATACCTGCATAGATTAGAAGCGTAAGTTGTAATGGAAAAATCACCTATGCTGCATTTGACATATATTTGAAACATTGAAAACTGTGGGGTAACTTTAGTGGGAAATTTCAGAATAAATATCCTAGAGTGATTTTGTTTATACTGAAGAATGGTGGATAGCAAGCTTTACTGCACTTCTTGTAAACAATTCTCCATGTCACATTTGCAATAGTTTGTGCCACCTCCTAGTTTGTGCCAACTTCTTTTTACGTATATATGGAAGTCCATGATTTGATCAAGAGGTTCTCCCCCAATATATTATTCTTGTTATATAAACAATAGCTCAATTTTTTCTTTTTCATGTGCAGAAAAAATTACAAACTGCAATTAAGGATTCTGTGTCTGAAAATGAGGCATTTCATAAAGTATTTGGAAAAGAAAAGCATGGATATGTTCGTAGTATGGGACTTGGAGTTACACCATCTCAAATTAATAGATCTACGAGATCGACATCTTCTTCTGCAGAAAGTGAACAAATAAAGGAAATGCAAGAAGAAATTAATGCACTTAAAGAAAAGAATTCAAAAATTGATGAATTAACACAGGCAATCATATTCTTAACGCAAAGGGACAAGGCGAGTACAAAGGAAATTGAACTCTTAATGCAAATGCAGAATTTTAGTGGAAGACAGGTATATTATTTTGACGCATTTAAAGTTAAATTTTATGAGTATTATTTTAAAGATTATTATTTTAATACCTTTTTTTAGGGATTGGAATCACCCGCTGATGGTAGACGTTCATCTGAGTCTAGCTACCGTATTGGAGATAATGGAACTTCAGGGGGGACAAATTAGACTTTGCTATGATCGAGATAATTAGATTGTGAACTTTCTCATGTATTTTTGGCATAATGATACTTATTATTATAAGATTAGGAATTGATATATTTTGGTTTTTTTGTACTACTTGACATGATTATGGAACTCGCATTTTACATGATTATGGAACACACATTTTTTTGGATATTATAATGCTTATTTGATGTTAAATATTTTTTATTGAAATTATTTTTACTATATTACAAAGTGATAGAAAATAAAACAAAAAATAATACTATAAATAAATATATTAAAGAAGAAATAATTTAAAGAAAAAAATAACACAAAAAAAAACTATATTTAAAATTTTTTACATAGATAATAATTTAAATAAAAAATATATATAATAGAAAAATAAAAAAAAATCAAGACATAAACAAAAGCCATGGCGACAGTACCGAACCGTCGTAATCAACAATTAAAAATAATCAACAAAAGTCATGACGGTATCGAACCGTCGCCATAAACAATTTAATCAATTTCAAAAGATATTCACGACAGTATCGAACCGTCGCCATCAATAATTAAAAGAAACTCAAAAGATAGTCACGACGGTATCAAACAGTCACCAATACTTGATTATGTCAGCTCCAAACCCGTCGTAAACTTGAACGACAGTTTTTGTAACCGTCGCGAAATAGGTTGGGGACACACACTTCTGCGACGGTAAAGCAACCGTCGTGGAA